ATATCCTCCAGCGAGAGAAACACTCCCTCCCTATACAGAGTCGATAAGATGTGAAACAAGGAACTAGAAATGAACTTTGGAATTTTCATTGTTTGCTTGTTTGCTTGTTGGACGCTCATACTTTAGAAGTCTTCGGGGGTGCATAGCTTCTAATGCACTCAACAAGCGAACGAGTGATCTCTCTGTAACCAGAATTTTTCTCCGTCATAAAATCGCACTCGACCGAGTGACATTGGTCGAAGATTGGTGGTCCCACTTAGACAGAATATTGTAACGTGTTTATCGCCCTAAGAATCTTTTCATGTATTCTAGTCGGCCATATCATAGGCTCTCCGCCAGGTCCTTACCTTAAGGATCTATTTGTAAGCTCGAGAAATTCACCGGAGACGGTTACACTTGCGTCCACGGTGGTAAACATTCATGGACTCGAGAAATCAATGGGCTTAATGGGAAGCAAAGTGAGAAATTTACCAGCCAGGATATTACTGATAGTCAGCGGACTAATTGTCAATAACATATGCATACCACGTGCGCCGAGGTAGCAAACTCTTATCTTACTCCAACCGGTAGAAAGGGAAAACCATTCAATCACGAATTTTTGCCAGTCACAATTGCATTACAGCGATAAGCAAGCGAGCAAGCATACAACAAGTAAATATGAGTAGAACCGAAGATAACGATACCCAGAGCACCTCCCAGACATCACAAGTATGCTCCTTCCATTCTGCTTTAATTTCCAGGCTCGGGGACCTGATCGCCCTCAACCCCCTCATGAGCTTAGACATCAAATCCCCCCGGAGGCACGACAACATGGAAACCTTCAATCGCCTAACCACCGCCGCGTTCCCCGATAGTTCCCAAACGAAGGCTCTCCTCCATCTCCCAGTAGTCTTCTAGCATTCTACCGTAGGCAATAGCAATGGCGTTAGCAATCGGCTCCACAATGTGAACGGCATCGCCGATCTCGTCGAGGATGTTCCAGTAAAAGGTGTTGCAGGAGGCGACGAACGCATTGTGGCGTTCGTTCCTAGCCCACCAGAGACCGATGTAGGTTTCGTACATGGCGGTGGTGGCGGTTGGGAACTCATAGGGGGGCCTTGGGGTTTCCCCGGAGTCAGCGAAGATCGACGGGACTGGAGGTTCGGCAGCCGGGGTAGAAGAGGAGGTGTAATTGTCGGACATTGTGATTTGGTCGGGTTGGTGAGGTTTTTTTGGAAAAGGGGGTAAGGCGGTAAATTAGGTAGAAGGATGTGCAGTGGAGACTGTGGGGGAAGACGGTGTGTTGGTGTCTTGCACTGAGCAGGATGGTGTAGCAGAGATCCGCCTTCAGGAAAGAAACAGCCCCAATGTTAAAAAGATATGCCACTTTTGTATGGTATGATGGGAAGGAGCCCGCAGCCCTTCACCTCGCTCAAAGTCTAACGCCCCGCCGGTTTATATAAATATAGTTTTGGACTAAACACCACGATTGGGATTACAAATTTTGGGAATTAAGGGCAGAGGAATACACCCATAAAAGTCTTGATATTCAACGATAATAGAGGTTATATCTATCCAAGAATAACCCATTTTATTCTAGTGGAAGTCCGGGAAGACCTTACACCTTTCAGAATGTTATAGAATTCAGCCTATCCCCAGTCAAGGAACTGCCGTCACCCAATCTCACTCGACCATTTTAGCTTCGCATAAAAAAACATCTCTAAAATGTCTTGTTTTAATCCGAATAACATTAGGAACGATACCCAGAGATCACGTTGATAGCCAAAAAGATACGGAGCCTCACACCAATAATATATCATCCTAGATCTTGAAAGCCCCTCTCGCTAGTGGTTCGCGGCGCACCGAGGCCTCCGATCCTAGAAGTAGTTTAAAAAGGCTTCCTATCGGAATCGAGAGAAGAGAATTTTCTATGTCGAACATGTGAGGTATAACTTTCGCGTTTCTTGCTCCAGATTTCTTTCCGCCCGCAAGGAAAAAAGTGGAGCAAGCCAACCCCATCTGCATTGCCATATCCAAAGAATTGTTGCGCCACTATCGTCTTAACATTGTAGCCGCGGAATCCGTCCCTCCGTTGACAAGACCCAATTCCCTTGTCTCTCTCCCGCCTCTTGCATAATAAGGCGCCATGGTAGATAATACCATTCATGAAATCCCACAGTTATCGCCATCCAGAAGCTGTGAGCATTAGGACAACGGTAGGAGAAATTCTGATAGTTCCAACATATTTATTCACTATGATTACCTATATACCTAACCCCCTTGAAATTCGCTATCTCCGCCAGCCCAAGGTTGGTTTAGCTGGACAAGTTAACAGAATTTTCTATGCCAGTGAGAGGGATGCAACACGTCCTGAATCTAATCTTATACTGTGACAGGAAAACGCTAACCCTTCTCAAGACCACTTGTCTGCAAATCCGGAGATTAAAGGAGTTCCGGGCATAGTGAAGAGATTTTACTCCATATTTCATTGCTAACTTACTGTGATGCCTGAACATATTCTCCCCACTATCACCCGGACCTCAACCCACCACATGGCAAAAGCTGCCCCACGGCGTCCAAGTCTCCCCCCTAAGTACCGTCTTGATTTGTTCTTCTGACCGCTTCTGCCGTTCGTCAGAAGAGGATACTTAGACCTCCTGTGACAAATTGCTCCACTATCCAAGCTAACAGGGTATAATATTATACGCCGCAAACACTTAAGTTGAGATCGATTAGCCAGGCAATATTATTAACCCACCACAGGTTTTCCGGCATTTTTTACGATACAATACATGACCCGACTTATGGAATCAGTAGACGGCCACATGGGGCAATACCGCTATGCTGGCGGAAGCGATTGCGGGAAATGCGCCACACCCCCTGTCACAGAACGGCTTACGCTCAAATACTTGACAAATCGTGGGTCCAAACATTAAAACAATCGGGTTGACCAACTTCTACCAATCGAAACAACCAATGTGGGGGTTACACACTCCACTCCACAGTCCCCAGCACCACATAATTGAGTATCCCAGAACAAGAGCTTTAATTACGCTAATATCGTAGCAGCGCCATGTTACCCTAGAAAAGAGATACCATCACCCAAGGGCCACGCAGGATAAGCACCAAAAGCTACATCCCGAGCGATTGCACGAAGGGGAATTTTAACTTCCGGTCGCGCGCGGTCGTAAGCATGGATCGGAAGAAGACAGAAAGAAACCGGACGTCTAAACAATAAACCACCGCCCAGTTCCTCCACCTCCTTCCCGCCTTCCCTGGAACACTGGATTATACGCATGCCGCAGGCACAGCACAGTCAAATAGAACCCTCGCCAACACCCCACTACCGAAAACTCACCGCACAATCTTCAAAACTATATCCTAAATTTTCCCCTTGCAGCTCGAAAAGCAGATGGAAATGGAAATGCTTCCGACGCATTCCGGCATCTTGGTTTTTCCTCTTCATTTTTCCTCTTCATTTCTTCACCGTCTTCAACTTCATCCTATTAGCGCTATCGGTCCCTAGAGGAACCGCCAAACTACCGTACTTACTTTTACCCACGGCAGATAATAGACTCCAATAACAGCTCAGTAACCTAACAAGCCCTGTTCTGGAACCGATCGCCAATCCCATCCTCACCGGTTCCCAAAAATCAAGGTGAGGTTGCCGCTGATTCCTACCGAATCAACCTGACCATTTGCCCTACGCTGCGGTGCGCCTCATACGGACCTCGGTGCAGGGGCCATAGGACAGCTGAAGGGAAAGCAATGGAAATGATCAATTCATCCGACCGCGCAATAAACTAAGCGCCGCGGTAGAACTACACATGGCCACCAGTCATCGATTTCTTCCAGTCATCCAATCCGACGGCCGTCGACCGCAGTCGACTAAAGCTGGCCAATTCACCAAGTGAAACACCCGCTAATACTAAAATGCGGGTCTACCCAGCCACTACTCAGCCACAGGAGGATGATCATAATGAGGCGAGTTCTCCTCTGCCGTCATCGCCCCGTCCCGGACGGACCGGACTACTGGAAGCACTGGGGTCATCCTCTATACCGCTTGCGACTGGCATGTCCTATCGCATCCATAGCGTCCCATGCTACAGGTACCGGCACTCGTATTCTACTCGAGTACCTTGGGCCGTACTAAAGCGCCCCGCTGCAACCCGTCGATCATGAGGTCATGTCAGGGTCCCTCCCCCCCCTTCTCCGGTCCCTAATGATACCCATTCATCAAATCTCGGGCCAGCTACCTTTCTCGGAGTAGGATCGGGGGTACTAGCACGGTTCCATTGCAGTTGCCGTACTGGTACTAGAGTACGAGCGAACAGAATTATTGGACCCATGCAGAAGTGCACTTGTATCCGGCACATAGTCCCTGAAATCCGGACCGGGGTTTTTTTTTTCCCGCTCGCTGCGTGGTTGTGTACGATCGTACAGTACCGTACGGTAGCAACTGCCGTACTCGTATCTTTTCCCATTGTGCGGAAAGAGACTAGCGCTGAAATGTACAAGTACCGGATTGCCCTCGCAGGGGGCTATTACAGGTCCCGCAAAACTCCTTGAGATTCGCTGTCTCAGTTCACTCGCTAATCTCGTGACTTAGAGGTAGATGTTCCAAAGAAAGATTTGGTGCTTTCCGAACACGGTAAGGATCGGTATTTTGACTTTGTTGAGGATTTCCATTAACTTGCAAAAAGCTAATCTAATCCTAGGGTGATGTCGTGATTTACAGGGATATTTGAGACCTAGGGGGACAGCGAATATCAAGGGCTTTTAAGGTACCGGTAGTCTATTAGGATCTACAGGGTCTGCCGCCGAGAGTGTCGTCGCGATAAGATCGGTTGCATTAATTAGCGGCAGGCGGGAGAGGCAAGATCGGGCAGGTGCGTCCTCCAACATTCGCTCTGATCCCTTACGATACCGAAATATGGTATCCAAGATCCTTGTTGGCCACAACACTCACTCAAAACATCACAGAAAACCTTCTTGCTGGATTGCACCGTGGAACATATGGTAATTAGAGAGATTATATATTCTCTTATAAACAATTTTAATCTGAGAAGAAAAAAAGAAAACTACCGGTAGAGAGGAAGAACAAAAACAAATAGTCTTTCGCGTGAAACGGAAATTTTTGTTTTAAAAATGGCCCTTCACATAACCGAATCAAACTCCAACCCCCTCTTCTTGAGTCCAGAATCCTCCTGGAAATGGGTCGCCGTAGTCTCGTACGTGTTCCAGTTATAGCAAATCTCTCCCAGAGTGGAATTGTCCACGCCGGTGATATCGCCCTGGCGCTCGAGGAATTGGAGGGCGAAGCCCGCGCTTACGTGCCATGCCTGTTTTTTTTCCGACCAGAATAGTTAGCTCTGATATAGATTATCATAGTGATAGGTGGAGGAGGGAGCTTACAATGTGGCAATGGAGGACCCAGATACCCGGATTATCGGCCTCGAAAGCAATAACCATGTAACCCTGGCCGGGCAACATCGCAACATCACGACGCGGGGGATTGGACCACCTGGCGCCAAGCGAAGCTTCAGTAGCATTGAAGGTGCCGTTGCCCTGGTACAAAATGTGGAAATCGTGACCGTGGAGATGGATGGGATGCGCGAAACGAACGGTTGTCTCCTCGATGACAAAGTAGTACCATTTGTGCTCGGGCAACTCGATAATGTTGTACTCGGTCGGGTAGGTTCCGGTGGACTGGAGGAGTTGAAGGGTAGGGTGGCTCCAGTTGACACGGGTCGACACGCCCCCCAGCGTCCACCTAATGACGGGGGAAACGTTGAGGCCCCAGAAGAGGTTCTGCGCACCCGAGAGGTCGATCTGAGGAACCGGCTTCTGCACCACGGGCACCAGACTGGAGATGGGTTCGTCGGCGCAGTTCTGCGGGATCGCCACGCCGGTGGTGGTTGGGTCGCCGCTGGTCGGACCCCCCTCGTACCGGATTATACCCTTGATATTGAGGGGATTGTCAACGCCCGTACTGCAGGCAGTCTGCACTGTTGCTCGGAGCCAGTAGTTTTTCAGATTAGCAGTGGAGTTGGACTTTGCCTCAACGATGACATCGTACCGCTCCCCATCGCCGATAAGGATTGAATCAACAGTGTAGGGAGTGATGGGGACGAAGTCGGCGGCGATAACCTTGAACTGATGATCGTCGATCGAGAGACGGAATGCCGATTCGACACCGGTGTTAATGAACCTAAAACGGTACTTCTTTCCAGGAACAAAAGTGGTGTTCCACCGGTATCCCCCAGATCCGAAAACGTTCTGCCCGTGGATCAACCCATTCTGCGCCTGCGGGAGTCCGACGGTTTCCGCATAATGCCAGGTGGAGAACGCGGTATTGTGATACCACTCGGTCACCATTACGGCGCCCAAATCTACGTCGTAGTTTGCACTAGCCGGTCCGTTGATGACGATAGGGCCTGCAAGACCCTCGGGGTACTGGACTGCAAAGTGAGAGTGATACCACGATGTTCCGTACTGAGTTGCGCGCCAGGTGTAAGTCTGGGTTGTTCCGGGGGACAGGGGACATTGTGTGACTCCGTTCACTCCATCGTTTTGGAACGTATTCAACTGTCTGACTCCGTGCCAGTGGATAGATGTTCTGTAAACTGTTAGCTATCTCAAGGTCGGTAACATAAAGAAATTGCAATTGACTCGCCCATTGTTGGTCAAATTATTGGTAACGTGGATCTTGACAAGATCACCCCAGTCTAAACGCGAACACACCAATTAGAACGATGCCCCTGCGAGCCCGGAATCAAATTCCCTTACTTGCGGTGATCGGGGGTCCAGGATAAGAGCCATTGAAAGTCAACATGGTGCGAGCAAAGCCGTCGGGTGCCAAGGTTACATTCTGGAGAGTCAACCAGTACTAGAGTAACTGTTAGCCCAAGCTTCGAATAACAACTATCGAGCCCTCAAAGGACCCATCTACCTCACGAGTGATGCCAGTATTGGGCCAGGTAGTGGAATAATCCGTGTTGATATTGGTGGTGGCATCCCAGCAATCTCTAGAGGTAGCAGAATGCGTGCATCCAGGAGATTGTCTCTCGATAATCTCAGCGGGGAGAGCTTGAACGCCAAAGGCGAGCAAAGCCGTGAGGAAAAGGGGTCGAAGCATTGTATGTATAGTTCCGGATGCCCAGTGAAGGAGGGGGTTAGAGAGCTGGGAATCGTTACTCTAGATGCTGCTGGAGTTCAAACTTCATGGGAATTGGGTAGACTTATATAGATTTCACTCCTCCTCGCCTGCTATTGGCCCCGACGTCGGCGACACCTTTTTTGTTAGTCAAAGTAGTGAGTGCAGGAGCAATATGGCATAGCCCTAGCGCTCTGAGTAGATACCTCTAGCCCAACGGATATCCCGTCAAGCCTCCATGGTGTTCCGGTGAGACATGAATCATCAAATGAGACAACTGGTCCAGAGTCGATTATTGCCCGACCGGACCCTTGTCTTGTAACATGGGATGTCCGGGTCCTGAGAGCTGAGAATCACATCCCTCCCGGTCACACACATGGTTAAACAAGCACAAAGAGTTGCTGTATCCTGATACAAATCACGAATCTCTAACACTTCCACCTGACATGACTTGGCACCAAGCAGGAGAGGCTGAGGGGAACGCTAGAGCCATAAAATCGTATGATATCATAGTCGGAATGAAAAATAAAAAAATAAAAATAAAAACTGAGGATAGCTCGGCGATCACAAGAACCGAGAGCATGGCCTTTGGCAGTCATTTCTCCTCCATAATATATAACTTAACCCTTTATCCTGGCATCTTGGGGCATTATATAAAGCAACAGGCTTGGTACACCTCCCAGGCGCATTAGATCATAGTAGATTCGCCGTTTGCACTCCTCTTGTAGAGGCTCGATACGGGTAAGCGATAGAATCTAAAGCATATATGATAGCGCCTTGGCAATTCCGCACCGGATTGTTATAGTTCATCGAACCCGCTCCGGTCCAAGATCAGTAAGAATTTCAAGAGCATTTCGGACGCGATCGGTGCCCTCGTCACCAACCGCTGGGACCTAGGTTAAATGTAGAAAGGGATGTGCCAAGCCCCCACTGTAGAACAATTACAACAGAAGTCCAGGATAGTGCTAGAATAATGTCGCCCCCACACCTCTTTCGTCAGAAACACTCGTCAAAAAAGCCTATTGTGTGACGGGGCCACTCACGAACGATTGAGTGCAGAGGGAGATCCGGCCCGTATCCCCCCAGCCTTACACCCCTGGGCGCCCTGAGACAGATCTCGGGAACTGTACGGTTCTCAGCCAAAGTAGTCTACAATCGCACCTGGGAAAAAAATAATTATAAGACAAGCCGGACAACAGCACTTCCCGTGGTCAGACAACTTAAAGCTGACCACAAGAAGCGGGGCTCCCACGAGGCCGTTTCGGCAATGTGAAAACGGTGGAAAATGGAGTAACTATCTGTGCCGCTGCGGTGGATACTCAGGTCCCCGAAAAAATAAATATTCGTTAGCCATGTACTCGAGTGGAAAGAGGAAAGATTTGAAATTCTAGTAACTTGTCCAACTCCTGACTCGTAGAGTGAGTGCGCACTCCCAAACAGGAAGAACATGAGAGGTACCGGTAGAGCAACGACGTTCTCCTTGTTACCCACATCCGTGCACGATAAGCGATACGTCCTGTGCAGGATTCTCTGATAGGATATACGGTATTTTCTCCTGTCAGGTACCGTATGACGCCCGGATTCCCGCGGGTCCTACCATAACTTCCGGGGGGGGGGATAATGTCATGGTGGTCTTGCGTTGTGGTGCTGCGCTGGAGGAAGTATTTTCAGCCATCAAAACACCCGCCTTGTGCAACGTCTCGAACTCGACCTGACCCACACGGCCTTCCAAATTATAGTGGGACACACGGTTGTATTCTCCCCCCCCCCCTTCACTCAATTTCGTATTTTAGCCGAACCTGTCCATCCTTGAGGCTCACTATAGTGCAACTACATCGTAGAAGTGCAATAACTAAAAATGGGGTGCCGCATTGCCGGGAATGGTGCAGAATTAGCCAATAAGTTAATACCCGACTTTCTCTTATTATGCCCCACATTCTACCATAGGCCCGAGCCGACAAAACAAGTGCCTTCGCTCGAGTCGTTTGCTCCGCACTTGCACTAGAATCAACAATTAAATCCCCCGAGAGAATGATTTATAAGTATAATAATCATATCATAGGTCGCGATACGAGCCTCTGAGCAAGATTAGTTCCTCCCTTAGTACCACCTGTCCCCCGCCTGTTTACACTAAGGCCTAGTTCTTAGTAAGAAGGTGCAAATGCAGAGCATTAGATTGTGCAGAGTCACTTGAACTGCTCCGCATATCTATAACCAAGGGGGGGGGGTGATCGAAATCGAATCCAGTATGGAACCTACTACTAATCGGAAAATGACGGTGTCTCACAGGGCCACTGTCAGGTCAGTTATTTCATCCGTAATATCCGACTCGGAGCTGATGCCTGTGTTGTGTGATAGAGCACAGCGGGAATGCCCGCTTCGCCAAATAGAGCCAGTCACCCCAAGATGAAGCCACTACCTATCTTCTCAGATAGAGTGCTCCCACCGATCCAGAAGAGCCTTACCAGAGTAGCAGGTAGTATCCCCTTAGCCAATCCAAAATATCCCACCAGGAATGGTACCAAAATCAATTCCCTGAGAAAGTCGTAGCTGCAAGAGAAAAGTTGCTGCATAACTCCGAAATAGTGTTTTCGGAAACGCCACTTCTATCACTCGACTTTCCGACTTTCGTACGCTCCTCCAATTCGGTCAATAACTCGAGAACTTGTTCGACCCTGCGTATAGGGCATCTAGGGTAACGGGGTGCGAAAAAAAAAGAAAGTATGTTCGCTTGGTACGATACTTGATCAGTTCATAATATTATAGGGAATGCCAACGTAATGACCCGAGCCCGCGGTGTAACCGCAGGGTCGTTACCGAGAGCCGCTAAAAATGGCCGCCCTCGAGCCCATGGCCTTGCACATTAACTCTGATCTTCAGCCACTGCCATTCTTGGTGATAGCTCACCAATGCCTCGGCATCCCCAGATGCCTCGATACTGACTTAGCCCACTCGCCTTACACTTCCGGTGAGCTTTTTTACTCGTTTCCCCTTGGCTCCATCAAGTTCAGTGGAGTGTGCTGTGAGGTGGGAAGGGAGTATTATGGCCTCACACGGGCGGATCCAACGATGCCCTGCGAAGACGTCGAATCTAACTTTGATCGCTTGTTGATTTAAGGTTGTTTAGGTCTTCACGTTTTCCTGGGTTCGATGATAGGCATGTTAATTATGTTAATCGCGTTCCGTACACTTGGTAGAAAGAAAAAAACAGCTCTTAATGTGCTCATCTTGGGATCACCAGCAAGCCTACGAAGGTCACTGCTGAGTTCGTGCTATTATTTGCGGTGCCGAAATATGCATGTCAGAATTGGCGGTCATGTCACTGCTGGGCACCCAGTCAGTTCTACGTGGATCCTGCCCAGGGGTCTTGGCACGGCCAAGAATATGGTTCCATGGGGCTCAAGTTGTTCTGAGATTACAACACCTCCATATTTCCCTTGGCATAAAGCACTATGTGAGAAGGTGGGTCGGCAGCCTTTTCCCCGTTGGACTACCGTACCGACAAAAACCTCAGCGTACCATACTATCCTATTTCATCTAAGCTATCCGTATCGATGCCAATAAATATTTCAGTGTTCCTCTTTGGTCAAATACCGGTATGGCTGTCTGTACTCGGGAGGCTCAGGTCATGTCCCCCTTTCCTATGCACCACCAGAATGCTAAGCCATGGGAGTGGGTGGCGTGTGCAGAATCTTACAGCCCTATTACCGTACCACTCTTAGTCATTACAAAGGTGATATACCTTGTTCCCGGTTATCAACAGCCCAATTCTGGGGTGGAATGAAACACTCAGGGAATCTCAGCATGAATGATACCTCGCATTTTCGGTATAATATACCGTACCTGCATCTGTCCTAGCTACCATTTAACCCACCCCAGTCCTGTGCTCCCAATCATACTAGATACTATAGCAAAGCCCCTCAAGCAGAATTCCGGTCAACATCCACCAGGGATACCGTACCTACATCATTTCAGCCTGCAGTACTTATTGAAAGGAAATAATGCTGAGCCTAAGCAAGGCTGAAAGAGTTATTGATATTCTTAGAAGGCCTGTAGTCGTTCTGTTTAGCTGCCTTGAAACACCTCGGTAGCAGATCCCCTAATCCAGTAATGGAGAGGCATCTCGTATCCGAAAATGGAATAATGATCACGCAGGTACGGTACGGGGGTTCCACAAGCTAACCCGAGTCTTAGTCAAAAAGGTTGCAAGGTCTCACCCGCTGACCATCATAAATTTTGGGTGCGGTAATAAGAAAAATGGTACTGCACAGTGTCGCGAACCCGGATGGCACTGCACTGTACATAACCGAAGCCAGCATCAGAGCCCTGGGGAAACAGTGCCACTGCGCCGGGAAGAGGCTGCGACAATAGTGCTACGGGATTAATTGTGTGCCCATCGTATTCCAAGAGGGCGCACAAAGGCAAAGGTGTTGTTTCAATGGCGGCAGCGACAATCCTATTGAACCCCTCGTCTTAGTGTGGTGATTAAACCTAACCTCTTGCGGTTCTCAGCTAGTATCATAGGTTGTACTGTAAATTTGCCTCCTATCATAGGATCAAGAGGAATTCTGTTAAAACTCGAATAATTTAATATAATGGGCCTTGTTAAGAGAGGGAAACACAACCCCCCAATGCAAGGTTCGATCCTTCGGGTTGTGCTGGTAGACCAGATAGTGCTAACCCGGTTGCGTGATAGTAATCTGTAATAATGGAAATAGCCTCAGCGACAACTGGTAAATAAACCCCCGGGTTACAATTTGTGGGGAGCCGGCGGAGATTAGGGGGGTCAGTTCATGGAGGCTTTGTGTGATACGAGCATTTAGAACGTATAGTCCTCATAGGTTTCATAGTTTATGGATCGGTAGAACCAACCATCTTGGCCTCTGTCTAAAGAGGATATCTATCATACTTCCCGACTGGAGGGTAAACTGAGCTCCGAATATTACAGGACGGAAAAGAGGGAGGACCAGCCCCACGGGACA